TTGGAAAGAATCTGGCTTTGTGTTGCACCAGTCTGAAAGTGATGCAGTGTGGGTTCCCACATCTCTGCTCCGGATTCCATGTGCGGATGATTTTAGAACCAGGCTTCAGAAGAGTAGTGTTTTCTTCTCTATTAAAAAAAAAGTAATGTTCTCCATTAGATTAAGTTTATGAGTCCTTTTTAACGACTTCGGCAGAGGTAGCACAAAGACAAAGGTGGTGTTTACATTAGGTTTGGCTGCAGAGTTGAATCAGGGGTAGGGCTTGGTTACAGAACACCAAAATCTCATATTCTCCTAACAGACTTCAAATTTATATGATGAATGAAAGTCTCTTGAGAGGTAATGCAGAACTGTAGATGTCCATATTCATGCAAGTTCTGGGAAATGCAGCTATTTTGGGTTGAGATCTGACCTGAAACAAACCCTGCAGAGATATGTGCTCAGAAATGGACTGTCACTAGGGATGCACACAGTGTTAAGATTCAGTCAGGGTCATCTTAGATTCCAGGGTTTGTTTGGGCTGTTTTGCTCAAACTAGAACTAGAAACTAGTAGTGACAAAAGTGCTCTTGCATGCTCACTATTCTTTACATGTGGAAAACAAGATGTTACTTACGTTAGTGTTAAGTTGATTAAATATGCCCAGACCAAAAATGTTGGCTGAGGTTGTTGGTTGATGTGCTGCTTATATACAGTGCACAGTTACATGTCCTTTATAGTTATCACGTAGCCAATATTTTTTACATTTAAATCTGTGGTGTAGTATATCTAGATAAACATTTTTGAAAACACATTTCTCCTTGTAATTTGCTAACTGCTACGTTGTTGCTTTACACCAACTGAGTTATGAAAGTTTGTTTCTGTACAGGCTTTGTGGGTGTCATGTACACTAGGGTTTGGTAACGTTCTTTTAAGTATTTGATTCTTATCCATAGCTTTGTATATTTGCAGTGGGGATTTCCTTTGGTATAAAACAGATTCTATTAGGCTTTCTATTAGGCTTTCTTTCTAAGTGCAGGAAAACTCATCAAAAAATAGGAATGCTTTCCACGTTTGTTCTGACCTAATTCTTTATTTTTATGTTTTTAATTTATGCACACTGTTTTTTTCACATGATTTAATTCTGGCAAGAGATTTTTTTTTTAATCCCTTCTGCCAGGAGTCTGTTGATTCAGCTGTGTAGGGCTGAAGGATTGTAGATTTTACAGAGTTGTCAATAAATGATGTTTAGGTGGCTATGAATAGCACTGTTTCCTTTTTCACTGAAAGACAAACAGAATGTCTTGTGTGCTGGGCAAAGTCTCGTACATCGCTGAGGCAGTGGTTAGAATGCAAATATTAATGTTTTCTAGGCAGTTAAAGTATATATGAAGTGTTAGCATTACTATCTCAAACACTGTGTTCCAAAAATGAAAATAAAATGCCAAATTCTTAAGAGCTAGTTTTGTACATATTGAGTCTAGTTATTTATTTTAGTTCCCTATTGCTGTTCTTTGTTGCCATGATAGTAACTGAGGGTGGGATATCAGTGCAAAGTATCCTTTAATTACCTCTCTTCACTTAGTTTTCTGTTTTAGTTTTCTTAAGTATTTAGAATCTGTGCTTAATATATTCCAGACTTTGTCTGTACCTTACTGGTGCTATTACAGTGAAGGATTAAAAAGGTGCATAATTGTTATGCTTTGGCACACATGCCCCAAGTACTGCTAAGATGCAGGCAGCTGAGCTCTGGTATTGGTAGTCCCCTCAGGGTATCCATAGCTGAATCAGTAGTGTGCTCAGCAGCAGCTGTTGCCTGAATTAAATGCGTCAGCTGCGCAAATGAAAAGAGCAGAAGTAAAACATATTGTAGTTGTTCAGAAATACAAGTGTTTGTATTTTGCAACAAGCTGCCCGAGTCATAGTTTCAAGTAAAGGTGAAGAATTGCTCTGGGGTGGGTGAGGGCTGCCTGATTTATCAACCTGGATCGTTCATTCAATTTTTTATGGCTTAAGATTCTACCAAGATCCAGCAGAGCACACAGTTTCTCTCTAGTTAAAATAATTTTCTTATTAATGCAATGATAAATATTGAGAACGCAGATTCTTCTGGTATTCCTGTCATGGGTATCTCAAGGCCAAGTGTAGCATGACTATACTAGTCACACTGAGTGACTAGAGAAGTCTGACATGTGGATGAAATTCCTACAGCATTTCAATGCTATCGATATCCATTTTTCTCAAACATTAATCAAAAACATCAGTGCCTTATCAGCACTGTTTAGGTCGTGAATCCAAAACACGTAAACATGTGAGCTAGTGTAAAGAAAATTAACTCTTTCCCAGCCAAAATCAGTAGGTATGCAAATGTAAGTAATAATTATCTCCTTCCTAGTAAGTTTACTGTTTCTCTGATTTATTTTTTTTTAAAGAAATTCTTCATTAAAATCTATTGTATGCAGTATAACTTCAGTTTTGACCACGATACCATCAACCAAGATGAGTAGTGTAACTAAAACAGAATTCCTTCATTTTGTTGCACTGCAGGCTGAGGCTGTGTATCATATGAACACTATTTTTCTTTAAGCTATTGTCAGTACAGGAATTCCTAAGTTTCTATGAGAGATGTTTTAACTATGATTTCAACTGAGTTCCCTTGTTTTTGATTGAACCTATTGTGGAGAACCCCACTCAGGTTTTGCAGTACTTTATTACCAGGCTGTTCTTGTTTCTGTTAGAATATGGTACTGGGAGTGGATGTAAGGTAACTGAGGTACACTTGTTTTCTTCAGTGTCTTGTCCGTCAAATTAGCATTAAATTTCATTTTCAATTTGTGTTGTATAATTTTGTTCAGCTCTTTATGGATAATGTGAACATAAAAATAAAGGGAACAACAGCTAATATTCATATGATTTCTAAGGCTTTCAATAAGGAGTAGAAGTCAATGGTAGAGTCTTTGGAGATTGTGAAAATATAGCTAACAAAAGGAAAGATGGAAGCTTTTGTTTTCAAGGTCAGTACATACTCCATAACCTACACATCACTTCAATGGAAAATCTCTATTTCAAACTCCTTTTGTACTTGTGATGGTGATGATGGTAATGGTAATGTACTTTTTGCTGATATTGAAACTGTCCTTTAAAAGTGATCACTTAGCTCACATTCTGTGCATTTTAAGCGTTCATAAATGCGCGCTTGCTAAATAATTGTACTTACTAATGTTGTTATCTGTAATATTGTATTTCATCTAATAAATTGCTCCAACAAAATGATGAGATGGTGCATATGCTCTGATTGTATGAAGGATGCTTCTACTGTTAATCGTGCTTCAGTTGCATTTCCTTCTGTCTGTGAACTGCTTAGGAAAATCTGCGTTTTCAAGCATATCATGAGTTATAATAGACATTTTGTTTTTCTGCAATCTGTATCTTTTAAATTAAAACTTTACTGTTCATTTTGACGTGGGTAACGTTGCAGTTTCTCATCAGCATCATGCTTCTGAGCCAACTCTATTTTGAATCTGTTGTCTAGTGTTACTCTCATGTGCTTTGTGAGTAGAAACCGTAGGGTCTCTCACGCCGCAGTGAATTAGGTGATTCTTGCTTCTGGTTCGCTGTTGTGATTTTGCTGTTGCTGTGGCTGACTGTGCACTACGGATTACCCTCAGTGTGTTAAGAAAAACGGAGGCTGGTATCAATTTTTGCCATTTTGTTGCAAAGCACAGCATTCATATATCAGCTAACAGCAGCTGGCTCACTTCCATGAACGTGTCTGGGGAGGAACTCCTGTTTCGCTGATTGTGAATCAACATTCCTGCCGTGTTCTTTGTAGGACTTGTAATTACATGGCAAAAGCTAAGTTCTGCATCATTCTTAGTTGTGATAATTGACCTACAAGTTGAATAGAGAATAACGTACCTGTCTGTTTTGTTTCAAGCAATTATAATAAAAGTCATTTTTAAAATTAGTTGAAATGTTGAGCGTCTGTATATCCATTTTGTAAATGGAAAAAGACATGTAATGGATGAACTTTGTTTTTCAATGAACTCATTACATTATCTAAAAGGATCAGAGGTCAGTAACTGTCACAGAACTGAAATCTGCATTTCTTCAAAATTTGATATGATGAACACAATCCAGAATTATTCTGTTGGTGAGCAGCCATTACTCTGGAACTTTAGTTGTACTGAATAAGCGAAAGATTGTGTTATATAGCAGACAAGTGATATTGCTAAAGATCCGTACATTCTGGTGGTTCTTAATTGAAATGAGTTCATTTAACACAAAACGCTTCCTGTATTGTAGGTAACCCATTCTGTGGGATGATGGTACTTGTTCAAGATAGTTTTCTATGCTGTTTGTGCTGTTTGTTCAATGTTTATTGAAATAGAGTGCAATATTCCACTTAAATGAAAAATTTATGGTAGGAACTGTTGGATCTCTTCTGAAAATGCAGGAATCAGTCTGAGTCAAGATTAATGACTTTATAGAATGTGAAGCCTCCAGGGTAATATAAAAGTGAATAAGTTATGATGTTCAAGAGAAGCTCTATTTGATTTTGAATTAGAGTCTAAGTGTACAACTCACACAGCCAGGAATGAAACCCAGAGCTAGCTTTGTTTCACAAAATTTTTCTGTTCAGATATTTAGTATGATTAATAAAAGGTACAGCAACAAAGACATTGATATATTTTACTTGTGGACCATGACAATTCCTCTTGACTGAGCGTGGCCCAGAAAACCAAAAGGTTGGACATCCATGCTTTTAAGTCTCCTTGAGTATACATCTGTGCTGTCTATTCCTGTTTTTCTGGGCATATTACTCTGGAAAGATTTTAATACATTTCTCAGCCCTTTTTCTCTTGGCACCCTACCAAATTTTGCTGTGAAATTTCTCTGTTTTTTATTCCTTTTTAATTATTTTTAGCAATTACTTGATTCTGTGCAAGTGAATCCCTCTTGTACAGTTTGGCACAATACAGTCCTACTGAAACATTTTGGTTTTTTTTCCCCCTTCCATAGGTATATTCGCATCGTTGGAACCCACAACACAGTGAACAAAGTTTTCCATATTGTGGCATTTGAATGCATGTTTACCAACAAAACCTTTGCTCTGGAGAAGGGTCTGATAGGTAAGAAATGCAACTGCTTCCATTTTACGTGAACTGTTGGGTACACTTGCCTTTTAAGACTGGCTATGACTTCACACTTGCTGTACTTCCCTTTCCACATGGAAATCTTTGAGTTATATGATGCTGTATGCATAGAATTAGTTGGCTAGTCCTTGTGGCTGCTTTGAAATTCCAGTGCTATGGATCAATTAGTAGTGCTGCAGGAATGTGAAGGTTCAAATTAAATTAACTGCTGCTGACAAAACCACTAGTAATTGAGTCTCTCTGTGCTCCTAATCTGATTTTTCTTTCCATGTGGTAGTGTGGTTGCTATTGCCTCCAGGTAGGTTTGCTTATACTTCCTAACTGGGATGGAGTAACCAGAGCTATTTCTTGCAGTGAAGATGAATTTGGGCACTTACTGCCTCTTATGCAGCCTGCTTTCAACAGAAGTGAACTCTGTTGATTTTTCCCTGAAGAGTTCTAGGCACATCTGTCCATGGCAGAACATTATACTGACTACCATTATTCCCAGAACACCATGCTGGTGGATCTCTGTTACTTCTGGTGCTCAAAACAGATTATTTAATACTAATTTAATTACGACTCTGTAATACTGCATTACTTAAGATAGAAGTCCTAGACAGGTATGGTTTACTAAACCATATCAAAGTAAGTAAGTTATGTCAAAGTAAGTTTTGGTGTAGGTTTCTTAATTCATCTATGGCGATCACTGAGCTTTCTTTCCTATAAACTCAGATAAGCAAGTTCTTGAAATTCATTGGAAAAATAATTAGTTTTGTATACTTGTAGGAGTGATTTCTGCCATCTGTGGTTTTACTCAAACTCAGAATCCTTCTAGTTCATTTTTTTTTCAGACCACCTATTACTGCTGTGATACAGTATCACAAATTGTTGCTTATTCTGAAAAATCCTCAAGAGTTCAAAATTTTAATTTTTAAGCATTCAGCTTTGGTAGGTGGAAGAGAAAACAGTTCACAAAAAAAGAATCAGAGGGAAGATTTTTAGTGAGGCATACTTTCAACTTTTTTTCCTGAGGAAAACAGTCTGACTCTGAAAAACTGGATCTGAGAGATGGAGACTCTATTTGACTTTATTAAAACTTACTGGGTTACGACAGATGCTTTATTGTAGTTACATATTTTGTGCTTTGAAGAATGATCATATGTTACATTCCATCAAACACCAGTTGTATATTATAAATGGTTATGTAGATCATAGAATGTAGGCTATGATTGTTAGAGCCAAGTCACTTTGTTGCTAGATTGTCAATATGTCTGTATTCCATGATCAAATTTCCACAGTATTCTTGCCAACATATGCCATGTGCATATCACCTTGCCATTTCCTATTTCAGTGCTTCATGGCTTTTGTTCATCTGTCTGTTAAATTGTGGAGATGTTTGTAGGTTGTCTTCTGCTTGTTTCCAGTTCTAACTGCTACCTTTACAGAAAAGGATATATGGGCTCCGATCCCATATAAAAATGTTCCATGCCTCCTAGCAATACAGAGAACTTCTATCATTTTCACTTTTCTTTTTCACAACAGATCTTACTATCAGAGATAAAAATGTGCTGAGCCTTGCACATAGTAATGCAGCTGCATACAAAGTCACTGAACAACAGAAATTCTATTCTTTGTTCAGAACAGGCTGCCCTCCTAAAATGCAACTGGAAATGCAGTGTATGTGTAGCAGAGTGCATTGTGAAGTACTTCTCGTGACATTTGAAAGTGTGAATTAATGAGAAAATTGCTGACTAATGGCAGAGTATCTTACTACACATCTGGGAGTGTTAACAGTGAAGAGGAAATTGGAACCAAGTAGAGGATGAAAAAGACAATATGCATGAATATACTGTAAACTAGGTTCACTGCTTACTAGGTAAAACTCACTGAGCTCTGAGCAGCCAGCGATGTAGAGTTTGTAAGGATAGCTGTTAACTTACACCCTTCTCTTGAGGCAGTGTGGGATTACAAATTTGACATTCAGCAAAATTACGTGGAATGATGCATATGCTGTTTAGAATCTATTAGTTATCAATAGGTGCTGGTGAAACCTATGCTGTGGTTATAGTTCTCTTCATCCTGAGCTATCAAGTTTTGAAACCATCTCCTGATAGTTGTTAAAATTTGGAAGGGTCATTTCTTGGTAGTGATATGAAAAACCTACTTCAATCTTAAGAGAAGTTCTGTAGCACATCATGACATACTTCTTGCATTTTTGTATTAGAAAACATATAGTGGGACTTGGACTTTCCAACCCCTTTAGATAAGAAGAAATAACAGGATGTTTGCATGAATGGACTCTAGAGCTCATGGAGCTCTAGGTGTACTGAATTACATACCTTAGCATGCGAGAGATCACAGCACATACCACAAGGACATTGTAATGGTCTTTTCATACATTCTTTGCTCTAGAATCTTCTAATTAGATCCACCACTTCTATCCAAACCCATTTTTGGTTACTATAAACAGGGTTTTGGCTATATACTAATAAGTATCCAGTGCTGAACTGTGGAACTATGCAGTCTTTCAGTGTGGATAAATCAGTTGTTGTGCCTGTACGTCATTTGATGTAATTTACAATAAGCAAATAGAAGTCCATAGAGCTTTTTATATTGAAGTGATGGTAGTCAATGCAATTCTAAAGCAGTAAGAAATCACAGAGTAGCTAATTGAAAGAGGAAATATGTGGATCAACTTATGACTGCAATGAGGCAGCAGTGGTTGAATATATGCAGATTTTATGGTGAGAAAGGGACAAATGGGAAGATTTTGGAACCACTTGTGGACAGGCCAGTTGTGAATTGGTGCAGGGACACTGGCTGTTCCATCAGAAATTATGTCTGTTTCCTCTTTAGAAATACTCTCAACAGCTTTGATCCAGCAAAATGACCTTATATCCATTTAGTGCTTGGTTTTACATACCTGTAATGGTTACTATTAAGGAAACATTTTGTCTGACTCACTGTATCAAGCAGACTGTCCCAGTTCCATAAAAAAAATTTTGTGTAACTACAAATAGAATAGTTGGCAAAAGTGTGTCTTAATGCCTATATGTGATTCATAACGCTGTAATTTCTATTTTATTTCTATTCTGTGTGACTGGATAGGTAGAAGTGAATTGAAAGCAGTTGGGAAAGCTCCAGGAAATATATGAAAATGCAGTAATCGGAATGGGTTGCTTCTAAGTTTCATTGAGCATAGAAACTTCATTCTTAACCCCTAAAAAAGTGGTATTGGGTCAAGTTATTGACTTCATTGTTTATGTAGTATGGGATTAAATGTGTCTGTTCTGACCTAATTTAATACCGTAACTGCTCTTTCTATAACTGTTTAATTAAGAAAAGGAAATGTTACTCATTCCTTGAAAGTCGTATGGTCATATTTCTGAAGGCCTTTGTGACCCTAACTCCTATCAAACAACACTGAAGATACTATTCAAGGACTTCCTCATTTCAAATCTCATTCCAGAATATTAAGACCACAGAGGTTTTTGTTTTGGGATCCTATAGATTTAGAAGTAATTACTGAATTTTCATTAAACCTATTCAACTTGATCAGAAAGCTGTATATAAAAATAGGGTAATTTATCAGATATGTTATTACTGATACATAGTATCGATTTAATGGCTTCACTGTAAAGTGAAGATTAAAAGACTGTTAAACATATAATAAGAATGAAGTGTCATCATAATAGCAGTTTTGTGTTGCTGTGATTTTAGATACTAAGATTTCATTGCAGATGATTAACTTGACACGTTACATTTAAAAGTCTGTATGCAAGATGATTTAGACAGTGTTAGTACACAATACTGGATGTGGTCCTGATACCACCCATTGACAATTAACTAACAGTTTTGAGGTAGAAGTAGCAGGAAGCACTTTTTCTAGCACCATCTTGCTGTTTTAGTGTTGGTATACGCTTTGTTGTCTTGTTAAATGAAGTAAGTGACAGAAATTAATTCAATCATATGAAATTATTCTCTAATGCAGATGTTAGAGTGGAAATGTAATTTTCCTTTTGGCATATTATCTCTAAATGCATATGCACATTAGCAGTTTTGCGTATTGGATTCACAGTAGATTGACTTAACTGCTTTGTTTAACAGGGGTGCGAATTTTTTAAAATCTCAAAAGCACAGTGTTTGTTTTTAATGAATGTGAGCTGCTGAATTTTGAATGGTCTTTAGTCATTAATATTTAATCTGAAATCCAAAACAAATTAAAGTTTTTACAAACAGGAGGCATAGTCCTCTGAATGCAGATGCTTTACCCAGTATGATGTGATGCTTGGTGATGCCTTCTAACCTACCCAATGGCAAGAGACTACAGTAATGGGTCAGGGGCTTCTCATACATCTATTTCCCCTGAATGTATAGGAAATTATTTCTTTTATCTGCTGCAAAGGGAGAAAAATATTAATTTCTTTTGTAGTCCCATGGTTAAAAAACCTTTAAACAGTGCTCCCTGCTGAGGTGCAATTAAGGACTGTGTAGCACACAAGTTTGCCTAGTCCACCGTCCTACTTTGGGCTTGGTTAAGGTCATAGGCAGTGCAACGTGGAAGGCTTTTACATGAATTTGTGTTTATCTGTGATCTGTCTCAGTCTATCAGAGTGTTTTTAAACTGATGCATTACATATGGAAGAGGGAACAATGAATAATGACCAAAGAGCAAGAGATAGATATAAAACACTGGAATGTCCTTGTTCACCCTCTGGGGAATGCTGTTCAATACGTATGAATCACTGTGAACATCTGCTTATGCACTACTCAGTACCTTAAGAGTACTCGTAAAGGAAAAAAATGAAGAAAAAATCATCCATCTTTTGCTCACTGACAGTTATTAAAAAAGAAAAGCAAACGAAAAACAACCGCAAAAAGTCACATTTAAATGTATAACAGACAGAAAGCAGTTGTATTGGTTTCTAGTGTGTGGTTCAGCATTCATTCTGCTGACTCTCTCCAAGGAAGCCACAAGAGGTGCTGTTTTCATGTCTAGTTTAATGTTAACTACACACGGAGGTATTTCATTTTGTATCTTCTCTTTTTAGAGGTTAGTGTTCTTTCAAAGCAATGCGAGTTTCCCCAGCATTGTAAGTCATCTCTTCTGCAACCATAGCCCTAGGAAATTATTAAAATTTACGACCATCTAAATACTGCAAGAAACCCTCTTTTTTTCCTCTTACAACAGAAGAGGACAGTGATGTGGTCAGTTTCATTGCTGCTACCCAATCTTCTATAAAGATCTGCTTGTATGGTTCCAGTTTCTTTTTTATTTCCTGTTTCCAGTGCTACAACAAAGGCTTATTTCCTAGGACATTTCTGAAATGACTGTTGTCATTGCTTTCTTCAGACAGCCTTCAGTGTTCAGTGAAACAGCTCTGTAGGTAGATAATTGGTTGCCAATTATGTAAAAGTATGCCCAATTCTAATGGCTTGTACGCTTTTGGTATGCTTTTGGGGATCAGAAAATCACAAGCCTCAGCACCTGAAAAATCAGTCTTCTATGTAATTATTTTAATCCAACCTGACAATTGCACGTTGAAAAATATTATTAGTGGAATTTTCTTTTCAAATCCATCAAAATTGTAATTCTTTCTTTCTTCCAAGCTGTAGACATGACTGTTCAAGTCTTCACATTCCAATGTAATGCCTGTGGTATGCATTACTGTGTATGTTTCAGCAGTTGCAGTATCCATGGCATATATTGGTGTTTACAATTTAGTAGAAGCTTACTTTATAAATCAGATTATTTCTCAGATATTTTGGAAGCATTTGAACGGATTAAAAAGCATCCAAGTTTATTAAGATAATATTACTATAATTAAATATACTACCAAGCAGTTCATTGCTCCATACTGCAGCTTAAGACCAAGGAAAAAAGTAAGTTTTAATAAATATTTTGATGCTGCCATAATGTAACTTCAATCACCTCCTGTTGTTTGCTTGCAGAATGTGCATGCTTTGCTAGCAAACATCTTTTCCATTCCCTAAAAGCAAATTCAATTTGTGAGAGTATAAACAGTGGGGAAAAAAAAAATCCATATTTGTAATCTCTTCTTTTGTTTTCTTTAACAAAGTTGGTTACTGTAATAGCTGGATGCTTGATGAATTAAAAAAAAGAAGATAGAAACAAGACTGTTGGTTTTTGGCAGTACATGCTTGTAAACAAGTGACCCGAATTTAAACAGAAAATCTAATGGGAGAAAGGAAGAAAACCAGAAGAATTGAAAATACAGCACAGATCAGAGTCCCCACCAGATGGTGTTTTTAATAAATGTATCAAGCAGATATTAAAGAAGATAATAAACATTCAAAATAGGGAGTGGCAGACTCCCCTAGAGAGAAGAAGCAGTATGACACCTTCTGCATGCTACAATTAGTTGGAATCACATTCTAATTAACCGTTGTAGGAAAAAAAAGGCAGTTAATGTACACTAATACAGTTTCTGTATGGCTGTTAAGGAGTTAGGCTAATCAGGGTAACATCTTGTGAGTCTGTGGATAAGTACAGAAATATAAATGTGAAAATGAGCAGGGTGAAGCTTAGAGGGCACACAGGTAAAATATTTTATGAACTGAGTTGTATTGTGTTCAATTAATGACTTATGTAGCTCATGGAGTGTCTGGAATATTCCACAGAGTGTTGGCATGAAAATTCATTTTGACATTGTATCTTGTACATGTTTTTTTTAACCTGGTAGCTTCTATTTCCTACAAAAAGCAGCACTGTATAGAAGATGCTTTAATGCCTAAGTAAAATGGGTACTCAAAAAGTTCTCTTACTGCCAGGGAAGAGGGGAAGAAAAGAAAACCAAGGCAAATTCTGTTTTGATGCCTGTGGACATTGTTTGCATTGTTGATCTTTGCTTTATTCAGATAATTTCTAGTGAAGTACACCTCACGTCTGCTTCTTTCTTCCCCATAGGAATCTGAGAATTTCTGAATGTCTCTGTTTCATAATACCACATCAAGACATTTCTAGAATAAGAATGCACTGACTTTACTAGTTTCTGATGAGCACACAGTGATGTTATCAAGTTTGATAGTGCAGTAAATTTGGGGAAAACTGTTATTTTTTCGCTACCTTGAATTATTACTTGGCTTGTAATGAGCCAGTGAGCTCATTTTATGAGCACATTGCAAATGAGCAGATTTTTTTCCACTTTAAGATTCTACTCCCAGCACCACTAGCACACTTAAAACACAGAATCATGTGATCACAGTATGGTTTGGATTGGAAAGGACCTTAAGGATCATCTTGTTCCAACTCCCTATGGTGGGCAGGAATACCTTCCACTAGACCAGATTGCCCAAAGCCCCATCCGACCTGGCTTTGAACATCTTCAGGGAGGGAGTATTTCCAGCTTCTATGGGCAAATTGTTCTTTACTCTCGCGGTAAAGAATTTCTTCCAAACGAGTAATCTAAATCTGCCCTCTTTCAGTTGAAAGCCACTTGTCCTATCGTTACATACCCTTATAAAAAGCCCTTCTACATCTTCTCTGTATGCCCCCTTCAGGTACTGGAATCCTAGCTCCTCAGAGAAAATTAGCTCTTTTGTGGCTAGAGACTTTAAAATTTGTTCTGAGATTTCATACAGCAGTATGTCAGCTATTTTCAGATGATATAGCAGTTTTAATATATATTTTAGGGAAAATCACTGTCTGTTATTAAGTTTTCACTCTGAAGTGGATTTAAGATGCTGCATAAATCCATTTTCATCTATACTATACTTTACTTGTTTCCCTATGTGAAAATTCAAATAACCTTAGATTTTAGTTGTCAGTGTTTCAAATTTTTTATGCATTTCATCTTTTGGTTTATTTGTTCTTTTTCTGATTTTTCTGGTTTGTTTGGCATGAGATTTTGGAAATTGTGTTGAATTGTTCGTTGTTACCACACATACATTGGTCATTCTTCATCAGAAACTGACAGTCTTAGCTTTTTTTTCAAAGAATATTTATTATCGTTGAGCTAAAATGGTGTTTTCAATGTGATTTGCCACATAAAAAGAATAAACAGATAACCTTTATTTTTGCATGTTCAGAGAACAGCGTTTTGCAACCTTGTTAATCTGAATTTTTTTCTAGAGAGTCTAAAAAGAAAAAAGAGTGAGACATAGATGTCTCATATGAACAGAGCATCTTACATAGCTTTTATGTGTCCAATCATCATCTTACTGAATGATGAGATGCAAAAAGTTTGGGAGTCTCTCAGTTACCGACAGAGTTCTGTATTGGTTTAAATGTAAACAAAGGTAATTAGATAATTAGGTGAATATGTAATTCCAAAAATAAACGTTGAAGCACTTGTATAACAGAGTTTCATAGTTTATATTATACAAGAATTAATGTTTCCTTGTGTTGACCATACTTTGATAACACAGTTTTGGGGTGCTTTTTTTTTCCAGTCTTTTTGCTGGCAATGACTATCATTACTGTCTGAGTTCTGAGCTGTTTTCTGACTGTATCACTGTGTGTATCTTCCTCATGTTTTAATTTGCAGTTCCTTCTGAAAATGTTGCAACAATTGCAGATTGTGCCAGTGTGATTGAGGGTGTCAGTAGAAGTCGCAATGCCTTGTTGAATGGAGACACAAAAAACTATGATTGGGATTCTGGGTACACGTGCCATCAGCTTGGGAGTGGAGCTATTGTAGTGCAACTGGCACAGCCCTACATGATTGGATCTATACGGTAAGAGGGTTTATTTTTCTCTAAATTAAAGGCAACGGTGAGACTTTTGCTGAATACAATTATTTTCTTTAGAATAAAGGGTGTTTGGAAATTATGGTAGTGAGGTGTCTAGTTTAGTAATTGTCCTTTGACATTTTTATTTCAGTATAATGGTTATGTTAAAAATTAAATACATGAATTGTGTGTCAAGAGACAGCAGTTCAATTCCAGAAAATATTGTATTTCAAAGGCATAATAATAGTAATAGTCAAATTGTAAGATTAAAGATGTATATTTATAGTAGAATAGAAATTCAATTGCAGCCTCACTTGTGATCACAGTATGAGCAGTTCTTCATATGCATCTCATTGTGAAAACTGAAACATTTATTGAGGAAAGCCATCATATCAGAGTCAACTAGGTTTACTTTTCACTATACAATTATCAGAAGCTCTTAACTTGAATATGAAGTATATTATAAGGGCACAGTAAACTGAATATTGCTTTACAGTGTTGGATTAATTATGTTATATAGATCTGGATTGTATTTCTGGTCTGTTCTCACAGTGGGTATGTTTGTGGATACGACAAACCAGCTTTTGGGTAACGTAAAAGCTTTTTGCACTTCTTCAGTTTTCCTTTGTGCTTTGGAAATAGTTTGAAGAACAGGACTGTAAACAGGTGAAGAAGAAAATAGAATTTCCAACTTCAGATTCAGAATGTAAATGATTTTGTTTAACAAAATCAGGCACTCAAAACCTTGTCTTGATGTCTGTTTGTTCTCTGTAAATTTAGAGTGTGTTGTCAGGAACTTAATTTAATTCTGTGATAAAAAAGAAAGCTTTCTGAAGCTGAAGCTCTAGTGAGTGAATGTAGAAACTGCAGGTTAGGTCCTTGTTAGCAGCAGAGGCCCAAGATAGGTATATATTGCTACAGTCTGTGCCATCTGCCTATCAGTTGTCTCTTTAGACTAGTTGATTAGTGAGTGAGATGTGACATTTCATAATTACCAGTTTTTGTTTTCCAGCAATGGAAAAAAAAGGAAGTCTAAAACGGTTTAGGCTGAAGGAAATAATCAGTAAGGAGGTGTAAAAAAATGCCTCGGACTGTGGTTGGTTTTCTTGGATCCTCTTCTCTGTCTACTACTACATTCGTATTCCGAAAAGTAGACTTTCTAACTGAGTTCAGAGAGAAAAAAAGAAAAAAAAGTACAAAATTCCAATATCCCTGAATCATGAAAATAAATGGTTCCTTTCTTCCAAAGCTCTGTCTTTTGTTTTCAGCTTGTAGCACTGCTGTGATATTATAAACATGAAAGTTTAAAGTCAGAAATCCAGACTCTATCCATTACAAGTGTACTGATTTGTCTGTTTCCTTGCTACACAAGTTATGCATACTGTGAGTCCAGCACTCTTCTCACCATGTGCAACAAGTTGAATAAAAAGCATAGTTGGCAGTTTTCCACTTTGGCAGTGAATATTTTATGCTTTTGAGTTTGATGTTTTTATTGCTAAATTAAGTATTGCATCGCAAGTAGAAAACTAAAAAGATACGGTAGTCGGATATCCTTAAAGAGGTAATTGAAAATGTAATTACGACGTTTTCATGCCACTTTGAGCTTAAATTTGAAGCAGCAGCAGAGACTTGCACATGTGAAGGAATAAGAGAAGAGTGTATTAACTAAAATGTATTGTTTTCATTTCATAGTCCCTCTGTCTCCCAGCCTTAGAATTTTCTGCTATCTTTAAATTGGTGAATCACTGTCACTTCAAGTTAGTGCAATAGTTTGGCTTTCCTGTATTAAATATAATGCTAGCATTTATTCTTCTTAAGCAGGAGTTCTGGATTTTTTTGTTTGTTTTGGTTTTGTTTTTTTGTTGTTGGTGGTTTTGTTTTGTTTTGTTTTTAATAAAACTTAATATTTAATGATGTATTAGATGAACGAGATTTTTGGTTGTCAGGAAATAATTGCACAATTGGGAAGCATATAGAGCGAAATAATAACCATTTTTGTTAGATATTTTTAAGTGAATAAGCATTTAATTGTTTATGTGCTATACTAAATATATGAGATCAGTCTCATCTGTTTTTCATGGCTTTTCCTGCATATACAATACAAGCAAAATGAACATCTTTCCTTAAAAAATGACAATAATAAGCAGCAGCAGCATCAGGATCTGATAGACATGATATCCTGCCTTGCCTGGAGAGAGAGATGTTAGCAGTATGTCATCCTTTCATTTTCATGTTCTGCCTAGAAAAAAAAAACAAGTGTTTTAAGCTAATATCTGTGTCAGATGATAGGCAGATGAGGAAAGGATGCCCCTTCAAATGGAGAAGGCGGTTTTACTACATAGCAGCTGCTTCTTTGGCATGGCTCTGTAACGTGTCTCCTACTCTGCAATGTGGAAGACAGTGACAAAGATCTCTGACTCTGGGAAATCTATGGCTGGAACAAAGGTCAAGTAACATACAGACGCAAAGCTGGAAGTCTTACTATTTCATCTTAATGCAAGTGGAAGAGTTATTTATTTATTCTTTTTAGCAGGTCTTCCAGACCGGATTAAATCGTATTAATTGCCTGTTTTCCTATTATGCTTACTTGAAAAATTCCTCGACCTCATTCTTCCACTAGGATAACATTTCCAGGAGCACTTCCTTTAGGCTAGCCACACTACAGAATGTCATGAATTGTTCTTCCCCCAGAAACTGAGTCATTGGGTTTAGATTCTAATGGAAGAATTAGAAATTAAAGTCTACATCCTTTACATTTGGAGACATCAGCATGCCATTAAGTATGTTTGTATCAGAGATACTAAATACGTAAACTTTTTTTTTCTTAAAAAAAAACAAAAAACCAAATAACTGAAAGGGTAGTAGATGCTTTTAGTTTCTAGAAATCAGAATTCCAGTGAAGAAAGCCTCAAAGTCAAAATGTGTTACTATGGCAACTAAACTCTGAGTATTGAGAAGAGCAGGGCTATTGGTGCTCAAATATGCATCAAATATGCTCAAATGTACAGAGAGCTGAATGATTCTTGAGTATATGTTATCTGCGTGTTTTCTGCCAGATCTGTCAATTTATTTTAGTATCTTTGAATCAGTCATGTTGGAAAGGACTTGAGAAAGTGATCTTGTCCAGCCTCTTCATCAAAATAGCATTACCAGGAAAGAACTAAGACCATCTTATTCATGGCTTTATGTAGACAGGTCTTGAAAACCTTCAAGAAAAGAGATCCACAACTTTTTTGGGCAGCTTACTCCAATACTTAGTTTTCCACACCATGCATTTTTTCTCTTTAATGTGGTTCCTGTTTTCTCATGGCTTTAGGCCATCTGGAACTTCAGTTTATGAACATTGTCTTATATTTCTCCCATGGTGTACCTGAGAAAAGAGCCTGATTCATTCTTTTTGATAACCTGCTTTCAGGTATTGAAAAATGCTGTAGAATCCCTCCACCATCTCAAGCCCTCTTAGGCTGAGCAAGATATTTTCCTCAGTCTCTCAGTGCACCTGCTCCAGCTTCTAGAATGTCTTGGTGGTCCTTTGCTAGATTTGCTTAGATATATCGATGTTGTATTGGCATACAAAATTGGATACAGTATACCAGTAGGGGTCTAATGAGTGTCAAATAAGAGAGAATAATCTCTGTCCCTTTTTCTGCTGATTCAGTTCCTGTTGATGCAACTCAGTATGCTGTTGGTGGCCTTAATTGCTTAGAAGGCACATTGGCAAATGTGTACTTGAGTTGCAGCCTCACCAGTGCTGAATACATCATCTTCCTGCTCCTGCTGGCAACATTACATCTGATACAAGGCAGGATGCTATTAGAGTTCTTGGCCACCTGGGCACACTGCTGGCTCAGCCAAGAGTCAACCAGCACACCCACAGCCTTTTCTTCCACACAGTCTTCCAGCCACTCTGCCCCAAGCCTGCAGCATTGCTTGGAGTTGTTGTGGCCAAAGTGCAGCACCCAGCACTTGTTCTCGTTGAACTTTATCCCAGCTATCCAGTTTGTTCACATCCCTCTGTAGGGCCTTTCTACTCCTCGGGAGATCAACACTTCCTCCCAATTGGTTTTGTCTGGAAACTTGGTTAGGATGTACTCAGTCCCTTCATCCAGGTCATTAGTAAAGATATTGTATAGGAAAAACCCTAAGTAGTTCCCCTAGGGGACACCACTCATGACTACTTGCCAGCTGGATTTCATTCCATTCACCACTGCTTTGTGGGCCTGGCCATGCAGCCAGTTCTTTACCCAGCAGAGTGTACCTGTCCAAGCCAATAATTGCCAGCTTCTCTAGGAAAATACTGTGGAAGACAGTGTCAAAGGCTTTGCTGAAGTCTAGGGAAAAGAATACCTCTCACCCCCCAGATGGGTCATTCAATCATAGAAGGAGATGAGGTTGATCAAGAAGCACCTGCCTTTTGTGAACCCATGCTGACTGGGCCTGATCCCCCCCAATTGTCCCCCACATGGCATGTGATCTTCCTCAAAATGATCTGCTCCATAACCTTTCCTGGTACCTTGGTCAGGCTGACAGGCCTGTGGTTCCCTGGATCCTATTTATGACCCTTTAGTCAGTGATCAGTAGACAATTCTGCTAGAAAAGAACTGGAAAAGCTTTTGTTTGAAATTAATTATAAATAAAGAATGTCTTTAGATTATAGAAATTTTAAAAATATATTTATTAGTTAATATAATGACTGTATTACTCTTCCATACTACAGCTCATGAGATACTTGAAACAGTCAGCAGGGAAAAACATACTTCTGCTGCTTCTTCTGTACCGTTGTCTGTCTGGAGAGAAAATAACCTCACTGTTTTTCCTCTCTGAAAAGGCACTTACCAATGACAGAAAAAAATATTAAATATAACTAGATGCAGAAAGGCAGCAATTGGCATGTTTAACATAATAGACATGATATAATTCCCTTTTTTTTAACTTTTAAATGGCTAAAGCCTTAATACTGGAATGCCTGCCATATCACAATAGCTTTAACTCCCCCTACATTTATC